GGGGGGGGGGGGGGGGGGGGGGGGGGGGGGGGGGGGGGGGGGGGGGGGGGGGGGGGGGGGGGGGGGGGGGGGGGGGGGGGGGGGGGGGGGGGGGGGTTGAGGGCCCCGGTGCTAAAAAAGCAGAGGACGAAGATGGGGGGAAGATGCGGGTGCCCAAACGACTATCGTTTTGCAGAGCGGGAGTTACGGCACCTCACGGCTAAGACACATTGCATAACCACGCGACATCACAAAAGACGTTAAAGGCGCACACACAACACGATAGGACGCAGCCAATACAGCAAATGCAACCCCAACGTAAATTTGCCACTGACCTGCTGCAGACGTATTCCGTGCTGCCATTTGACGGCGGTTTGGCGACAGGCGAGGCCTCGTGACACGTCATGCGAAACATAGTCCTGTATCCGTGCAACTCCCCGTAAAACCTCGAAAGGCGTGCCCTGACCTGGAAGCAAATATCCGACGGAGGGGAAATGGTGAGGCACAAAGAACTCGAACAACAGCACTAAGCCCAAACATGACGACGAACGACAACAAACGGTCTTCACGCAGCAAAAAGATTCCGACGGGACAAATAGTGAAACGGGTGTAGCCGAAAACAATACGCAACGAACGAACCGAACACACCAATAACAAGACTTCACGCACTTACCTCTGGGGATCGTATGTCGAAACGATCATACAGAGGACCTTGCCCGTTGTTTCTCGCCCCTTCCCCTTCCCCTCCTCCTGCGCCGCCGCCGCCGCCACCGCCGCCGCCGCCGCCCCCCTCTGCCCCACCCCCAAACCTCAGGCCCCCGCGACCAGCGCCAGCGCGCCGTAGTCGTCTGTTGAAGGCTTGTCCACTTCGCCTGATGCGATCAAGAACTGGCGTCGTCTGCCTCCGCGCATCGGCCCTTGCATCCGTGTCGGCTTGCCGCTGCCTCTCGCGGGTGTCGGGGCTGAGGGCGCCACGCGCCGCCANATACAGAGGACCTTGCCCGTTGTTTCTCGCCCCTTCCCCTTCCCCTCCTCGTGCGCCGCCGCCACCGCCGCTCCCCTCTGCCCCACCCCCAAACCTCAGGCCCCCGCGACCAGCGCCAGCGCGCCGTAGTCGTCTGTTGAAGGCTTGTCCACTTCGCCTGATGCGATCAAGAACAGGCGTCGTCTGCCTCCGCGCATCGGCCCTTGCATCCGTGTCGGCTTGCCGCCGCCTCTCGAGGATGTCGGGGCTGAGGGCACCACGCGCCGCCGCTCTCGAATCAGTGTCCTGTTGCCGCTGCCTCTCGCGAGTCGACGGGGAAAGGGCAGCCCTTCGCAAGCGGTCCCTCTGCCGACCGTTCTGCCGAGCAACAGCAGCAGCAGCAGCAGCAGCAGCAGACTCAGGAGCGGTTGTTGCCCTTCCCCCTACTCTCCCTCCTCTCCCTCGCTCTCCATCCCTGCCCCGAGACCGCCCCCTACCTCTTCCCCTCTGTCCTCTTCCCCGCCCACGGGCACGCCCCCGCCCCCGGGAACGCCCGGGCAAATTTCCTGGATGGTCGGTCAGGAGAACAGAAAAGATTTCCGGCTACGACCGCTTCTGCGTGGGCCATTTTCTCCCACAGCAGTAAGTGAGCTTGTTGTGGGCGACGATGGAAGGAGTCCAACATAGAGTACGGCAGGGAGGTGGAGGAGTTGGAAACTAGCATAGAATATACGCAAAAGTTTTTTAAGAGTACACTTGACTTGAAATTAGACTGCAGGGGTGAAGACGCCGCATGTTTTGTTTTTCGTGCAGCGGAGAACACACGCACTGTCTGTGGTGCAGCAGAGAACACACGCACTGTTTCGTGGCGTCGCGTATTGGTACAGCAGTATAGTCGAGCTCGCAAAATCGGAGCGCGAATATTACAACAACAGTAAGATCGGTCCAGGGGGTGTGGTATATTACAACAGTAAGATCGGTCCAGGGGGTGTGGTATATCACGCAATACGACAGTTGGACAGCAGTAGGTCGGATTGAGAAAGGTCGGATCACGGGCCGAAGCAAGCGCACATTGCAAGTCTCGGCCGAAGCAAGCGCACATGGCAAGTCTCGGCGTATTGCTCTGGTATATACAGACTACAGCAGCAGGAGGTGTCGCGATGGTGTCCAGCAGTCGTACAGCAGTATCGGCGTGATGCTGTGGAAGTCAGCAGTATCAAATCTACAGACTTCTTTTTTTGTGGAGAGCCGGATGAAGACAGCAACGCCAACAGAACGCAACGACACATACGCGGGATTCACATTGGATAGGATAGCACAACGCAACAACACAAACGTGGGAGACAAACGTGTGAGATACAAATTGGATAGCATTCGCAGTCGCCGACATACCTATTGTCATCAGCCATGATGGAGTTGTTGTTGTTGTTGTCTTCACATTAAACCGTTGTCAGTTGCAAAATGCCAAAATCTAGCAAAAGACTCTCAGCCCGTGGTCACGAAAGTGCTAGAGCCATCTGAGGATCTAAAGAACACGCACACGTGTAACGAGAAAAAGGTATCCAAGAGCCCGAAGAGGTACACCTAAAAATCCCTGCAGCACCGTATGCGTGCCCAAAAACTGAACTGCACGTCCGTCCCACCGTTCGACTACAGTAGCATCACCCCCTCCCTGTCCCACTCTACACCAAAAGGAAAGATTGCCGACTACAGCATACTGTAGCGGCGGCGGACCAACATCCCCACGGGAGCCTGAAGGGTTCGACCCCTGACGGCAACTAATACGATGATGTGCGAAGGAACGGAGACCTGAGCACGGAGGGCGGCAGACATAAGTGGATCTAGTTGGATC